CAAAAGAAACACTACCAAGGGCAGCCCGAGTATCCGCAGACCCCGGGATCTACCTCAAACACCAACATGCAGGAACGTCGAAAAAAAGAGAAAAACAAGATACCAGTATACAGGCAAGTCCCCCAACAAAAAAAAAGAACCAATACCAAAAGGCAGCCCGAATGTCCGCAGACCCCGCAGTCTGCCTCAGAGGCCGACATACCGGAAAGTCCAAAAAAAGGCAAAGGAACGCTGCCCAAAAAGGAAACAAGAGCCTACCAAAGCCGGCCAAAGCATCCACAGACCACGGGGTCTACCTCAAAGGCCAACATACAGGACAGTAACCCCGCTGGGGCGGCGGCACTGGGCGGCAGCCCTTAAATATAGATCTGTCTGCCTGGCTGTCTGCGTCTGTCTCTGTCGCTGTCTGTCTCCGTCTCCGTCTCCGTCTCTGTCTCTGCCTCTTTCTCTCTGAACGAAAGCGTGCACGCATGCATGCATGCACGCACGCACGCACGCACGCATGTGTGTGTGTGTGTATGTATGTATGTATGTATGTATGCATGCATGTATGTAGGTAGATAGGTAGTATTAAGGTATGTATGTACGTTTGCATGTCTGTGAACTTCTGTGTAAACGCATTTCCCATGCAGTCACTTCGCCTCGCGTTCACTTCGCGTCCTCCGGCCTCCGGCTGATTGTAGGCCAGCGGGGCCACTGCCGAGCAGCCTTGTGGCCTCGTAACCAGGTGCCCAGATGTGGACGGGTGGAACGAGAAACCTAAAAAAAGGCTGGGGCACAAAAAGGCACCAAAAGGTGCAACATGAATAAATATCCAACACAGAAAGAAAGAGCTAGTTCTTTCTGCCAATCAAAACTAAACCCCCTTCAACATGCCTGGCTGGTTCTTCGGTATGATGTGCATCCATCTTCCTGAAAATCCGTGGGTGGCTGTGACGCGGATTCAACTCTGGAGAAGAAGTGCCGAAGTAGTGTTGGGCACCCTGCTGTGTCTCGGGCCTAAACCAGCCTTGCTGGATGTTAGACACCACCTGACATAGATCCAAAGTTGCTGCCAGGAACAAATTATGCTGCTTTGTTCAGTTACCCCCTTTTCCAAGACCCTTCTCCTTCTTGGGTACTATTTCGATCCTTTGGTCAAAGGGAGGGCTTGATCTAGGAAACAATGCAAGGCTGTCAGTGGGATTTGAAGTAGGGCGCGAGCTCGTTGCTTACTGATATCCCACTGCCATTTTGGAGGCAAACAATCGCTGGAGACAGTCCCTATCGTCGCTGTCTCAAAACAAGCTGGCCATAGCTGGCCATGTCGCACCCTGAGGAAACAGCTCTTCAAACAAAGTAGCAGGTGCTTCTGAAAGCCCAATTCCTGGGGGCTTTAATGTCCCCGAGGGAAGATCAACAAGAACGGCCTCGCGCACCAGTCCCAGATCCAGAGATTTTGTCAAATGTACCACGAGTCTAGTTGACCCTTTCCGAAAGCTGCATCCTGTGCCTCTTGGGATCATCCTTTTTACAGTAGGGACTGACAACAAGCGCTGGTTGATGCTCGAAACTCGTCTGTTTCTGTTCAAACCGTTCGATTTAAGACTGAAATCCAGCAACAAATCCTAGAGACATTCGCAAATCAAGGCCTTCCGACTGACAAGCCCCCCTCCATCGCCAAGGCACACGGCCTCCAGCTCGCCTCAGCGCCAACGATGAGCGACTGAGTGAATTTGGATAGGGCGAAACCAGGACCCCATCAAAACGTGGAAATCCGCTGGCTGAAAACCGATTTTGTCCACTTTTACAGGTTCAAGCATCCAAGTCTCTTGGCAAACCCAAACGCGTTGAAACTCAACGCGGATGTCAGATGGGTCCCTCTGGTTCCATGGCAACGTGGACAGGAAGGTACTTCTTTGGACCACCTCCTCACCCCTCAAAAAAATGCTCAGGTGATATCCCCAACCGCATGAGGCACATTTGCGCGCACTCGGAATGCAGAAGTCGGAACCCTCAGAACTCTCCTCGAAAAACCCCAAGAACCCTCCCCAACTTTCCTGAGGTGCCCTAGACCCCCTGGAGCCGATCTGCACAAAGACGCTTCCCTCTTGGTGGTTTGGATTTGGCGGTTTAGACCTTTGGGGTTTCTTATTTTCCCTCTACAAAAGCCAGGGCTTCAACTCCCAAACCAATGCTTGACCCCCGAAGCGTGGATTTTGGCAAAGAACAGGGTACCCTGAGCCAACCATAACCAACCATGAAAACCCAACCATCAAACAACCCAACCCTATATCAACCCTAAACCGAGCCTACACCAAGCTGTCTGACCATTCAGCTTCCATTTGATTGGTTTGGTCTGGTTTGGACGAGGAGTTCCTTCCCCATCCAATTGATTGGTTTGGTTTGCTGGTTTGGACGAGGGGTTCCCAATCCCCATTTGCCTTTCCAACCCAAACGGCTTGTATTTCTGGATCTTTCGGGAAACTAAGAAAGACCAGGGCCAAGTTTCTACCCGCGTGGGAGCAAGCCTGTAGGAGCCCGCTCCATGGGTTTGTTGGGGCGGTGCGTTCGCAGTTCCCTGGCTGAGCTGTTCAAATGACCAGCACCAAAACCCACGCCGAGGCGCTGCACCAGTCCCTGAGCGCCTCCTCCCTGGGCCTGGGCGGCGCGTCCAGGCGGATCCACAGCGCCTTGAGCTTCCTCGGTTCGCGACGCAGTTGGACCTCGAAAATGGCGGGGGGCGTCCCCCCAGAAAAGCGGAAGGAACACAAATCCGCGCCTGAATATGTGTCCATAATATGGGGTTGGACCCCAAAAATAGGCCGATGTCCCTTGAACTGCCGGTCGGATTTGCATGGGTGTAGGTAAAAATAGGGAGTTCGGCGTGAAGAATAATGGCCGTGCCTGTTGGGTAGCCCCCAGAAGCAAGGAAAACGGTTGGAGAACGCTCCGCTTTGTTCTGCCATTATTTGTTTGCCTCCATGATCAAAAGAATAAGAAGAAAAAACAGAAGCTTCACGCTATGGAACCATACTAGTTCCTAGCTTCTTGGCTCCTGGATGTTTGGAGTATGGAACATCCAAAATGGGTACACTACACCTTCAAACAAACACGCAAAGAATGCACAGCGAGACATGCGCAGGTCCTAGAGGGAGAGGCGAGCCTGCAACGTTTTCGTTTTTGGTGTTTACCCTGCATTTTTTTGCGAATGGCAGTAGAACGTATGGAAGCCATGTCAGGGCTACGCGTCGATGTTTGTGTACGTGCAATATATCAACATGCGTACAGATGTGCCAGTCTGTTTGGCAGTGATCTGACTCTCTCTCTCCCCCTCTCTCTGTGTCTCTCTCTTTCTCTTCCCTCGTGTTTGCTGCTTGATAAACAGGATAGCAGCAAAGCCCGGGTTGACCTGCGCTTCTCCTTCCTCAAACAGACATGACAAAGATTGCCAGTTTGCTTTCGGTAGAACAGTCGTCTCAACGGGCCCCGGACGCACGGCCCTTCTCATCCGAGCGTCACAGATGCCATTGGTAGGATCCATTGCACGCCTTCCTCGCAGGTTGGGAGCCATGAAAAGCAGCTCGCAACCAAGGACAGTATGGCCTAGAACTGGTCTGGGCCCATGCACGCCCAAATGCCTCGAGTTTGCACCCCACTGTAACTGCACATCGCTGGACATGCCTCAACCCATCCCCTTCCACCCAACAAAACAAAGCACCTGCGCCAGGTGGCTCGGCCGTGCTTGCGCTTCTGGCGCTGGTTCCGTTGCACCAGCAGCTGAAAGATCACGCGGTGGTACATGCCATCCTGAAAGATGATCTGCGGGCGCGCGTACTGCCTGGGAGGAAAAGGCCAAAGCCGCACGGCTTAGTGACCCTGGAACCCTTTTGGTTGAGGTGGGGAAGAGCCAAGCAAGCGGAAAAACGGAGTGCAGCTGAACTGGGGAAGACCCTCGCAGAGCTTGCAGCAACCCGAGGTCCCAGACCTTTGGTGACAAGGGCACTGCAAGGAGCGGCCGACCTGAACTGTTCAACCGGCACAAACACCCAAGAAATCTCCGTGAGCTGCCTATGGAATGGCATTTCACAGGTGACCGGTAGCTCTAGCGAACCCCAGGCAAGCCCCTTCCAGAAAAATGCTGTTGGATCCCAACAAGGCCAGAAGAAAAGTCTCGTCAGAAATGGTTGGCCGCTATCCCTGCTCGCAAACAAGCGCTTAGCGTTGAGCCAAGCGTCTCAGCCGTGCACACATCCGGCGAGCAGAAGACCCCAGCACAGCTATTAAAGTCGTGCCCCTTCTCCTTGTCATTGGACTCAAGGACCACGCCTGCCACATATGGGTTCATCTCCACATGTGAACCCTCAAAACGGTCGCTTAGTGTCACTGGCCGTAGATCAGGAATGGCCTTTGGAGATCCTAGAGGCAGCTTCGCAAGTCCGGGTGGGTTTTTCAGGCGCAGCCCGGGCAACTGGCAATCATCTTGCTACAAATGCATGATTGAGGTTCCATGGTGGTTGTTTGGGGCACATTTGAAAGGTGGGGGCTTGTTGGGTTTTGGAACCAGTGAATGAACGGCCAAATTCCTAGAGGGGAACTCTGACAGGATCAAAGGGACTGTGGTGCAAAAAGAAAGATATCCGAACTGCTTGGACTCGGGGTGGAGCAAAAGGCATTGATCTCAGCCTCCTTCCAACCATGCTCTTTGCCTCGATCGATGTCAATCCTTGACAAAAAAAAAAGCAACTGCAAGCAAACTTCAACTGGTAGCCCAGCTACAGGTATACATACCTATCTATCTATATATATATATATATATATACATATATATATATATATATATACATATATATATATATCTGTCCAATATATATATATATATAGACGTATCTCTCTTTCGTGAGTCTACATGTCCAAGCTTGCGCGAGTCTGTTTCTGGCGGGGTGTCGGGGGCGGATCCGCCTGTTTGCAGCACCAGCCACAGGGAGTACCACCAGGTGCCGTGGAACGCCTCCACCATGGCCTCCTCGGATCGATCGGCCTCGGATCGATCGGATCGGGCATAGGTGTCCTTCTTGGGGAAAACAGATGGGTTTCCCTGGCGGATGATTAAACCACCAGGTAAACCAGGAATCGAAACCCATCTATTGTTCGACCAAAACAACCAAAAAGGACGGCAGCCATCATTCACCATCCCTGACAATGACTCATGCGGATCCCAAAACAGGACGCGTCATGGAAAAGGTGGCTTTCAACATCCCAACACCGAATCAGGAACTAAACTCCAATTTTTGAGCGGGGCTGGCAAAATGTCAGCTGTGAGCCCCTTCAGAGTTTTCAGCCCTGGGGTCTGGGTAGCTTTTCTTTGAACCACAGTGGGGAGACTAGAGGAAGGTCGCAGAAGGCGAACTTTGCAAATGCAAGAGGAGCAACATGTCATCCCCGAGATTCAAACTGAGGGGCGACCAAGCCACCAACCTCTGTTAAAAGTGAGTGTTCTTTCACCATACTGCTCAATGTTCTGTTGAGGAAGCCTCGTCAACCTTGACACATCTGCAGCAAGTCAGCCGAAACTGTGGTCTTTGTCATCCTTCATGGAGAACAAAGCGCCTGCCAGTTGAAGGTTGAAAGCCAGTTGTTTGCCCTGGTGAAACAATGTTCTGCCCGTCAAAGGATGAGGCCCGACCCTGCAGGGCATCGAATTCAAGTGCCCGGCACGTGTCCAGCATGGCGGGAGCGGCTTTTTGTGGTGGCAAGAGAAAGCGAGAGAAACTTACCGTTCAGGGCTTGAGCCCAAATCCAGACCCCTGAAGAGAAGTGTTGGGGAACATTGAACATGATCCGTATGCAAAGCCCGGATGGCTCCTATTCCTGCATTCCTCAGATTGTGAAGGTAGTTTTGGGCTGCAGAGATTTGCCCGATGACCAACCATAGCCGGAGCTGAAACTCCCCACACGCCGTCCCGTGGGGTCGCTCCTGCTCACCCTGCTCCGTCGGGAGGTAGCTGAAGACATGCCACTTCCGCTGAGTCCCGGAATACTCCTTAGACCATGTCAGCTCGGAGATGCATGCAAGCTCTAGCCCGCGGGCAAATCTTAAGCCTCGCTTCAAAAGCTGAAACGAAACGTTCAACGCCAAGAAACCAGTCGACACCATCTGGATCCGACAAGTACGCAAGTACGCCTTCAGAATCAGTTTCTGTGAAAGCACAAGTCAGGATCAAGGTCCGTCATAAGCCATCCGCCTTGAAAAGAACATCAACTGCCCAGCCCCCACTTTGGCCACCCTTCGGCCCGTCCACCCCAGTTGTGCCAGGCTGCCAGCCGCCCTGAGAGGTTGCGCTGATCAAGCCACTGCTCAAAACCTCGGCAACCGCCAGAGCTTCAAAAATGCTTCCCCCTCTCTCCTTCCCCCTCCCTTTTAGGGTTTAGAGTTTAGGGTTTAGGGTGTAGGGTTTAGGGTCTAGGGTTTAGGGTTCTTAGATTTCCCCCCCCCCCAATCCACCCATAGCAACCCCTTCTGCGATGGTGACCGCGAGAAGCTGAAAGTGATGCCTCGAACTACTGCGGTCCACGACCCACAGCCTCATTGCCTTGTGGGCTATGCTTAGAATGCGACAAATGTGGCGTTTGATGCAGCAACCCATTGAAAGGAGGGTCCAGGGGATATCCCAGGGCAACAGACATGGCTATGAAAAGCGCGATCCGGCAAAAACGATCCCCGAACTGGAAGCCGCTTGATTTGTGGGTCGCGTAAACGGTCGTGGTCGGTTCCTTTGCGGTAGATTTCTGGACCTCAAGGTGTTGAGTAGAGTGCCAACTCTTCAGAAACAGACAAGCAAACAAACAAACAAACAAACAACCGAACAAGCAAGCAAGCAAGCAAACAAGCAAGCAAGCAAGCTTTCAACCCAATCCCTCAAAAAAAGCAAAGACTTCCTTTTTAAGGGTACCGGTTCCCCTATTTTGCGACCCCAAACCGGGGGGGAGCCACACCTTTGGCGCCCGGGGCTGGGGCTTCCCGCGGGGCCGGAAGCACTCCGCGAAGAGCCACGCGTCCCGGCGCCCGCGGCGCTGCAGCGAAAGCCCCAGGTGCAGCACCAAAGGCGTCTCGGAGTCGCGTGTCTGTTGCCTTTTGTCAGAAAACATTTGTCAGATTTGTTTGTCAGAAAATGGGCGACCCCCTCACAAAGGGATCCTTCACAAGAAAGTCGATCAAAGTCTTCCACCAAAGGGGGTCAAAAAGACCCCCCTGGTCTCGGAGGAGTCGCATCGGTGGAGTGGTCCGGTTCTCAGCTTCCCCCACCCTACCATGGAGGCTAAAAACCCTTCAATTGGGGCAGAAACTCATCCGAGTCCCGTGCATTATCCAAAGGTCTCCCAGTTTAACACAAATGAAGAAGGGGTAAGTCTCTCGTGACCATATCTTGTTGCCACCCTTCTGAATTGAAAAGATTCGGATGTGCTTTGGACAAACAGCTAATACATGCAGCAGCTTGAAAAATAAGGGCCCCCCCAAGCTCGCAGGGCTGGTTGACCTCCATCCAATTGCCATAGCAATTATGTATATATATATATACATATACATATATAAATATGTCTATATATGCATGTATCAAGGTACTGCTTCCTCTTAAGCTTAGTAGATGTAACCATCATCTCTCCTGGTGAACTGCTTCAAGATGCAAAATCAATAAGCCGTCAATGACAAACCATGGAAAAGAAAACAAGAAAGGGGAGTTTATCCGAGACCCCCCTCTCCCCCCACCCCCCGGACCCCCCGCCGCCAGCACCTCTCTCACACACACACACCACTTGACTATCGTTTCGCAGGGATTCTAAACGCTAGCAACCCCTCGTACATAGAAACATCAATCTATATATATATATATAGTGGCCTGAATGAAGATACGAAAATCGACAGCCCTCAATCCATCGTCACTGGGGCAACCTGGGGCAACCTGAGCTGACAACAAAACTGCACATGCCATAAGTATCCAAATCTGGCAAGCCCAACAGCCTCGGCCTCGGCCCATGAGAGGAAAGAAGAATCGGGAGGCTCAAATCATGTGCTCGATGCATCCCCTACAGACATCCATGCAATCCCTTTGCATGAATGCAAGCAGGCGAATGGTATCCTGGTCGGCTGACTGAGACTCCGAGACATAGGCATCCAGCCAAGATGCTCGATTGTGCGAGTCCTTCCTCAGCTGACACTGAAACGCCTCCACAAGTATCAATCATTCAGCAAGAGCGACAGTTGGGTCTGGCAATTTTGAGGGACCCCCACAGTAAGTGGCTTCCCTTTGGCTTCCTATTAGAAAAGCCAAGCCCCGAGGGCGTACACTCAAAAAAAAAGACATGCCCGGTAATGTTAACCCCATATCAATCAACCCCAGTTGATTAAAAGGGGGTGTGCCTGTGTTTAGTGGGGAAAACGTCACTTTTGGAGGGGAAAACCCCCCCTGTTCATAAACTGGCTGGTTGTTTAATATGGGGTCAACATTGTGCAAAAGCTCGATCGTCAGGATCCCATCTAAGCTCCCGTCTCTTCCTTTCCAGCCTGCGAAGGATTGGCCCCACTCAGCCACTCAGCAAAAAGAGCGACTGCCCACGTAACGCTGCCCACCACGGTGGCATGTCAAAGAGGGCGCCTCCAAATGATTGATGTCATCCTTTCACAGAATAGTTTCGACGCACAGCAAAAGGGGCATAGCTGTGTGTGTGTGTGTGTGTGTGTGTGTGTGTGTGTGTGTGTGTGTGTGTGTGTGTGTGTGTGTGTGTGTGTGTGTGTGTGTGTGTGTGTGTGTGTGTGTGTGTGTGTGTGTGTGTGTGTGTGTGTGTGTGTGTGTGTGTGTGTGTGTGTGTGTGTGTGTGTGTGTGTGTGTGTGTGTGTGTGTGTGTGTGTGTGTGTGTGTGTGTGTGTGTGTGTGTGTGTGTGTGTGTGTGTGTGTGTGTGTGTGTGTGTGTGTGTGTGTGTGTGTGTGTGTGTGTGTGTGTGTGTGTGTGTGTGTGTGTGTGTGTGTGTGTGTGTGTGTGTGTGTGTGTGTGTGTGTGTGTGTGTGTGTGTGTGTGTGTGTGTGTGTGTGTGTGTGTGTGTGTGTGTGTGTGTGTGTGTGTGTGTGTGTGTGTGTGTGTGTGTGTGTGTGTGTGTGTGTGTGTGTGTGTGTGTGTGTGTGTGTGTGTGTGTGTGTGTGTGTGGGTACGTGCGCATGCGCTGAGCAAGGCAGTGTGTAAGGCTGGCGCAAGGGTCATACGCAGCGAAGGCAGTAAGTATGTAATATACAGAGAACAGAGAGCGCAGGTCATGGCGCGGCGATGCACATATGCGGGCGGCGTGGCGGCGGCGGCGGCTGGCGGCGGCGGCTGGCGGCTGGCAGGCATGGGGGCGCGGGGCGAACGGTAAGGGAAGGCGAATGGTGGCGCACGGTGAAGAAGCATGCACGCATGAATGAAGGCGAGCCAGAGGCAAGAAGAATGCGAAGGCAATGGTGCAACAAGATATGCTGCAACAGGCATGCAAGGTGACACGCGAAGTGGGCGCGGGGGCCATGGCCGGCGGCATGGCTGGGCTGGGGCGGCGGGCGAAGGAAGAAGAAGCGAAGGTGGCTGAAGGTGGGAAGGAAGCGAAAGTGAATAAACGCAATGTGCGAAGGCGAATGCTAACTGAACCAAATGCGTTAATAACTGAAGGCAATTAAAGGCGAAGAGCAAGCAAACTGCAACAACAATGCGAAATGCGCTGAACGCTGAAGGCGAAAGGTGCAATGCAAACGCCAAAATGAAAACATGCGAAATAATGAAATGCCAATGCCAATAATATGAATAACTGTTTGTGGCTGAATGCGAAAACACACCACCATAGAATGAAACCACAAAACGAATAAACAAACGAAATGCTGAACGCTAAAACATTGGCAACGAATGCAACGCAATTGAAACAACGCAAACGCTAAAATTAATGTGCCAAATGTGAACGCTAAATGCAAATGAAACAACAATGTCACGAATGCAATGAACAATAACATGAACATGAACAGTACCATGAAGGCATGCAACAATAAAATATACAAATGCGAAGCACTTCATAATCTGTCGCGAAATGCAACAAGGAACAAAGAACGAAGGCGAAGGTCAACAATGTGTACCAACGCTAAACGCGAATGCAATGCTGCACGAAGGGTATTTAAAATGCCAATGGAATTAGCTAATAAATGGTAATTTAATAAAATGAATAATTAATAAACCAACGAATAATGTTGAACAAAAACAAATGCTAAATAACAACAATAAATAATAACTGAATAAATAAGTAAAGTAAACAATGGTACGCTAAAACAATAAACAAAAAAGCTAAAAGCAATAACCAATGTGAATAAAAATAAACAATGAATAACGCAAAAATAATGCTGGTATAAATGTAATGTAAATGAATAATAATGTAACAACAATGGCAAACGCCAAAACTAAAATGAATAAAAACGCTAAAACCAAACGCCAAATGCTAAAGAATAAAACTAAACCCGAACCAAACCAAAAGGCAAAATGCTGAAGGCAATGCCAAACCAAAATTGAAAACGCCAAGAAACAACGCAAATACACAATAAAAGGTTAAAATAAAGCGAATTGAAAAGAAGGCAAATAACGAAGAAGGGTAAACAAAAAAGGCGAATGACTTGTGTGTGTGTGTGTGTGTGCCAACGTGTGTGTGTGTGTGTGTGTGTGAAACATGTGAATTAAAACGTGTGTGTGTGTGTGAATCAACCAACCAACCCAACGAACCAGTGTGAAGGCCCTGCCGTGCTATCGTGCGCGGTGCGCCGCTGGTGCGCCTGCTGTGTGTGTGTGTGTGTGTGTGTGTGTGTGTGTGTGTGTGTGTGTGTGTGTGTGTGTGTGTGTGTGTGTGTGTGTGTGTGTGTGTGTGTGTGTGTGTGTGTGTGTGTGTGTGTGTGTGTGTGTGTGTGTGTGTGTGTGTGTGTGTGTGTGTGTGTGTGTGTGTGTGTGTGTGTGTGTGTGTGTGTGTGTGTGTGTGTGTGTGTGTGTGTGTGTGTGTGTGTGTGTGTGTGTGTGTGTGTGTGTGTGTGTGTGTGTGTGTGTGTGTGTGTGTGTGTGTGTGTGTGTGTGTGTGTGTGTGTGTGTGTGTGTGTGTGTGTGTGTGTGTGTGTGTGTGTGTGTGTGTGTGTGTGTGTGTGTGTGTGTGTGTGTGTGTGTGTGTGTGTGTGTGTGTGTGTGTGTGTGTGTGTGTGTGTGTGTGTGTGTGTGTGTGTGTGTGTGTGTGTGTGTGTGTGTGTGTGTGTGTGTGTGTGTGTGTGTGTGTGTGTGTGTGTGTGTGTGTGTGTGTGTGTGTGTGTGTGTCTGATGTGTCTGATGTGTCTGTGTGTGTGTGTGTCTGATGGGTGTGGGTTTTTGTCGTTTGTTGCGCAAGCAACAAAAAGTCCGTCACTGCCGTGAGAAATCACCAACTTGTAGCGGGGAAGGCTGCCTCCATATACGGTACACGTGTACCGTTTTCAACGCCCGCTTCCCAGTCGGCAGCGTCCGCGCCGTAAGACCTTGCTAAAAGGAAACCAGGGCCCATAGGCCAATAGCCCACGAGGAAGCAAGTGGGTATGGCTCCAAATGAAATAGCTAGGGCACACCTCAGGTTTGGTCTTTGCTTCCATCTACCAAGCTGCCATTTGAGGTTCCCCCCAATTTTTGAGCCACAGCCAATTGGAAGACTACAGCCCCCTTGAAAAGGCTGTCCACTTCCATTGGAAAGTCGGTCCCGCCTTACGCCAGCTCTTCACCAGCGAGCCCCGGCCGCTTATGGCGCAGGCAACATCCGAGGGTCGGTGAGCCATCCCCCAGCACGCTGACCCCCGGAAAAAGGAAAAAGGTGAGGTGATTGCAGTTGAAGTGGTGCGAGTGGTTTGCAGTGGCTTGCAGTGGCTTGCAGTGGCTTGCAGTGGCTTGCAGTGGCTTGCAGTGGCTTGCAGTGGCTTGCAGTGGCTTGCAGTGGCTTGCAGTGGCTTGCAGTGGCTTGCAGTGGCTTGCAGTGGCTTGCAGTGGCTTGCAGTGGCTTGCAGTGGCTTGCAGTGTGTTTGCAGTGGCTTGCAGCGGCTTGCAGTGGTTTGCAGTTCTTGTAGTACAAGGCCAACTTGTCACTTCTTCTGGCTATCAGTTGGAAGAATGGGCGGTCATTTGTTGGACCAACGCTTGTCTGAGCTGCCGTGCCATCTTTCTCACGTTTCCTTTGGTTAGGGGCCGGACGGAGCGCTAGAAAGTGCGGCATCCGGTGTCTTGTTTGCTAGTCTTGCGCTTGCTTGCTCTGCGCGTTAGTGCAAGGTCCTTCATATCTTAGTCATGCGTGCCAAAACCAAAACGGCATCTCTCATACATTGACGTGGGCACAATGCCAGCACACACAACCACAACCACAACCACAACCAGACACAGCCACTTGCTGTCCGATCCCAGTCAGTTGCTTGCAAATGGACGCAAGTTTCCCCATCGCTGGAGGCAAGCGGCCTCTTGAACATCTGACAGTGCTCAACGACCCAGTGGCTCAAAGCTCTTCTGAGACCTGCACCCAAAGCCTGGCGAAACTGCCATTCATCATTGCATGGAGCCGTTCTTTTGAAGGTGTTTGTTGGGATAAAACAGCTCAGGCGTGCTTTCTCGGTTGCGGAGAATTCGACAGGATGGCTTGAAATGATGCGACAATCCAGTTCGTCCCACTGAAGCTGGGAAAGTTGAGTACTTTATGGCTCAACTTCCCACTAATTGGTGGCTTGGATGTATTTTAGTGTCTAGGAGTGGCTTCCCGTTTATCCTCTACGAGAACCAGGGTTCAAATCCCAAACCGATCCAAACCACCAGCTAGGGGTTACAGTACCTGAATGGCGCAAATGCAACACAAAACAGCCCCGGCCAAGCTCCGGCAACGTGTGTTGTTTTATCGCTCGTTTTCACCGTCGAAAAACATCTTGGGGCATGGCAACCAACCCACTCCAAGCACCGGTAATCTTGTGGATTGTGTGGATTGCTGGTGGATCAACTTTCGAGTTGAGGGGTGGAAACTCCTCTTGCGGCTTATGGGTCATTGCTCCCTCAATGGCAGCCCTTGCAATGGCTGCAGATAAACTCAAGGTTGGCGACCATCCCTTCTTGGCCTCAAGTCACTCTTGCTTCGACCCCTTGTAACCCGTCGTGTTTGGGGTGTCGGGGGAACAAAGGCCTGCAGCCCGCTCCTTGCCTGGGCGCTGTACGGGGATGCCTCGGAAGGCAAGCCTTTGCTGTGCTCTTTTCATAGGTCACTTGGCTGCAAGTAAATATGGAAACGACGAAGCATCCAATTCTACTGATCTGTTTCGCCCAGCATAGTTCCCAAACTGTACATCGTGGCTTTGGGATGTTACGTTCGGACAGAACGGATTTCCAGTGCCCAGCCACGCAAACGTCGGGTGCCGCTGAGCAAGCCGCGCTGATCTCCACATCTTCCAGCCTAAGGCGAGCCACCCTCTAAAAGGAGGCCCCCATCTCATGCGAGGCAGTCCTTCCAAACTATGTTGATCCCCAAATTTGGGATCCATCCAAAAGAGACAAACTACAGGACCTTGTTTTCTCTCCGATCAACCGGTGCACAAGAGTACGGACTCGTGTCCACCCCTCGATTGATCACAGGAGAACCACGCCTGCGTGTCTGTTTTAAAGCTTGGCCACCCAAAAAGGCGTCAGTTGTCCTTTTGGTTTTTTTGGTGTCCCGGAAGAACCAGGCGAAAGAGGGTGCCCCTCTTCCGCAAAAGGACAAACCCCAGATCCTTCAGCGGCTTTCCGGGGCACGCGCGCCTGGGCATTTCGAAACCCAGCGCGGGTTTCGGCTTGGGTCCGGGGACCCCCGCATGGCCGGCGCCGTCCTGGAGAGGTCCATCGGCCTCGCGGTAAGGAAGCTGAAGGCTTTGCTGGGCGACCCTTCCTACCAGCAGAACCAAAAAAAAAACATTTTTTCGGTGAGGTGGGTGTGTCTTTTTAAGGACTCGGACCAAAAATGGCCTTGGCGTCCTCTTTCTTGGTTTCCCTCATTTAACCACTGGGGGGTACCGACTCCAAAGAAAGACACCTTCAGGTTGGGGAGGGGGTCTGCCAGTTGCAAGGGGCAGGGAGCAAACAATCCTGTTCGAGCCCTCTTGCACGGTTCCGGTCCCAAAAACTGTCAACATCCATGTGTCTTTGTGATTGGTCGCGTTTGGTGGGGGGAAGCGTGTCTGAGTTGTTTCGCACCAAGGAACCTGCGCTGGCCGCATGGTCCATCGATGCACATCTCGAGGCCCCAAAGGCTTCCCTTGCGGATGTCACGTTGTAAGACACATACCCCCCTTACACCGCGGACCAAGCGTTGATTGAAACATGATCTTGGAATTCCTGATGGTTCGTGACAGATAGAGGGGGTGCCTATCTGAAATCCAAGTGGCGAACAGTTTGCAGCTGGAGGGTCGGCCCAATGACCGAAACGCTCATTTGCATCCCGAAAAGGCTTCGCAACGGGTGTCCACTATATGTTGGGTGTGATTTGTTTCCCAAAAAAAAGAAAAAGTTCCTGGTCGGTGTCCGTTTGCAGTGAAAGCCTGGATAACAAGAAACATAACTTTACCAGAAAAGAGAGTCACAAGTGGCCATGCCCATTCCAAGAAGCCCCAGCCAGGCAAAAACCATGCAAAACACACCTTTCCCATCTGCCTGCAGCTCGCCTGCACCAACCCCCAGCCCGCGCTTTGCCGAAATCTCGAGATCTGCCAAGGCGCTTGGGCACTTCCTCTTGCTGCCTCACGAGTCCCCATGTCAAACGGTGCCAACCCTCAATTTGGGTCTAGAGAACCTGATATGGCATCAGACTGCTTCTCTTTGCTCCAACTGAAGACGTCCAAAAAAGGGGTCTCGATCTTGACACCAACGCATGTTGGCTTCCAAAAGCAAGCCCCTCCGTTGATACATCAAATACGTTATGCAGCAGGCAAGGATACAGGTTGTGAAACTTCCGTAGTTGTGGAACAGCAAGCGGATGCCGGCGTTCGCTCCAACAAAAGCCTGTGTATACATGTGCATATATATAGACATACATTTCCTTACAAGTACAACCCAAGCAGTTCCAGGTTGAATTGCACAATGAAACTATGATCATCTCGCATCGCAGAGGGGTCATTTCCAGCCAGTTCAAGGGAGCTGAAGGGTGTGTCGAGGCATTCCCCCTGTCAGGCTCCACATTGAATGGACCAGCTCTGTATCGTCATGGTGCTTGTTACAGTAAAGCTCAGTTGCCATTGCGATTGGCACAAGCGGGGGGAATAGACAAAGCCATTTCCTTGGATGTTACAGGGTGTTTATCCGTTTGGGTAGTTAGCCCCTATCCCTTTTTGTAGGACAATTGGGAGCATTGGGTAGTTTTCCGATGTCCGCATTTGAACCATAGAACACCCCGTGAAGTTGTCCGTTGCACGTCGCACAAGGTCTGGGGCCGCCGACGTCAGCGCGGACTTCCAGCGCCTCACCCGTGGTAGCTCCTCGCGGATGAGGGGGGCCCATCTCACTCACATGGGCATGAATTTTAAGTAGGGACCCGTTGGTAGACATTATTTAGGTGGGGACTTGTGTCTGCCAACCACTTTTCAGAAGATTCCAACCAGAAAAAAAAATGCCACATTCTATGCGGGTATCTTGCTTTAAGTCGCAGCAAGATATGCCTTCTGCCGGGCTTTCTGTGAAAAGCTGGTTGTGCGTGAGCATGGTTGTTAGCTCAGTTCTGCAGGACTACCTTGCCTGACTTACAACAGCTGTCAAGAAAAATCCCTTTGATCTGGACTTGAAGAGCACGGGCAACAGCCGGTCTTTGAACCCAACTTGTTCAGCTCACCAGATTCGCGTACCTTGCAAGAAGCGGAATCAGAGCGGCCCTAGAGGAAGCGGCGGTTGAACCTCCCCCGGGGGGCCATTTGGGCATCTCTTTTTTGGAGGACCACAAAATGTGTGAGCGAGCCTCATACCATTTTCACCACCCACTTCCTAAGGTCAATAGAAACCGACCACCCCCCCCCACCCAATGGATATGCGCTCGCCTGCCTCGGCGCTCACAGGCACCGGCGGGGCCTGCTCAAGGAATGCAAAGCCGGGCAAACCCACATGAACCGTCGCGTTCGCGTGAACATAGAATGAACCAAGAAAGTGAACCTAGAAAGTAAACCCAGAAATTGGACCAGAAAGCGAACTCTGAATGTGAACTTACAAAGAGAACCAACCCAGAAAGTGAACCATGAAATGAACGTGATTGGGACCCAAAAACACTCAAAGGGGAATTCCTACAAGATTCCCGCCAAAAGGTGACAATTGAAAGATTCCCGCCAAACAGCGGAGACCTCCCCCCAGTTTTATCAGGGTCTTTCAGATCCGGGGTGCCCCTTACAGGTTTCCCACTTCATGGGTCAAACCTCACCGGGCAGGCTCGGCCTCCTGGATGGGCCGATGCCTGGGGCCCGCACGTCCGGTTCAACTCGTTGGGGAATCGATCGATTTCTTTCGGGCGGTTTTTTGTGGTGGAGGTGAGCTGCTCCTCCTAATTCCTCCGAATGCATCCGAAATGAGCATGTCAACTTCAGAGTTGTCCGGAGCTCTCTTTCTTTGCAACACGCTGCTCGGAGTAAACTTGGAGTTGAGCGCTGCCCAGCGTTGCCGCTACCAGCTCAGAAATCGGCGCCCCTAGGGCTTTTAGACCATGGCGGAACAGCGTTGCCAGTGCTCTATGATTTGAAGCCCGCATTTGTTGGACTCTATTTAAGGAGGACATACGCGTGGAATCCTTGCTATCAAACAC